GGAATGATGAAGTAAAGGGTGTGATAAAAGAGAAAAGGTAGCTTATGAGAGGTTTTTACAAAGCAGAAGTGTTATAAGAAGAGCAGAGTATATGGAGAGTAAAAGAAAGGTAAAGAGAGTGGTGAGAGAGTGCAAAAGGAGAGCAGATGATAGAGTGGGAGAGGCACTGTCAAGAAATTTTAATGAAAATAAGAAAAAAATTTGGAGTGAGTTAAACAAGTTAAGAAAGCCTAGGAAAGTATGGATTTGTCAGTTAAAAACAGAGTAGGGGAGTTAGTAGATGGGGAGAGGGAGGTATTGGGTAGATGGCGAGAATATTTTGAGGAACTTTTAAATGTTGAGGAAGAAACAGAGGCAGTAATTTCATGCACTGGTCAGGGAGGTATACCATCTTTTAGGAGTGAAGAAGAGCAGAATGTAAGTGTGGTGGAGGTACGTGAGGCATTACGTAGAATGAAAGGGGTTAAAGCAGCTGGAACTGATGGGATCATGACAGAAATGTTAAAAGCAGGGGGGGATATAGTGTTGGAGTGGTTGGTACTTTTGTTTAATAAATGTATGAAAGAGGGGAAGGTACCTTGGGATTGGCAGAGAGCATGTATAGTCCCTTTATATAAAGGGAAAGGGGACAAAAGAGATTGTAAAAATTAAAGAGGAATAAGTTTACTGAGTATATCAGGAAAAGTGTACGGTAGGCTACACAACTGTGACTGGACAGAGATAACAAGTTGCACGGACGTAAACGATGCCTGGGAAAAATTCAGAACAATGTTCACTACCATCCTTGATAATATTGCACCAGTTAAAGAGGTTAGGATTAAACGATGAACTGAACCCTGGATGACTACTGAGATATTAGATAATATGAAATTCAGAGACCAGCTGCTAAAAAGATTAAAACAAACAGACAGGATATTGCAGCACTAAATGAATTCCAAAGGGTGAGGAACAGAGTACAGAGACTTATAAAAGGAGCAAAGGCAAAGCACTACTGCTCAAAAATTGAAGAGTATAAGCATAACCCCAGAAAGCTCTGGCAACAACTAAAACATTTGTACTCACTATCGATAATGAGGTATGCCATGAAACATCTAAGGTGGCAAATTGCTTTAATTCCTACTACACATCTGTTGCATCAACACTAGTAAGTAAACTACCAGCTGTATCAAATACCTTTAACACAGACTCTGATAAGTTTCAAACATACTATACCAATAAAGGGGTAACCCCAAACAGTTGTCAACTAGTAAGTGTATCTCATGACTTTATTAAAAAAGAACTAAGCAGGTTAAACCCAACTAAGAGCACAGGCCCTGATAACATCCCGTCTAAGTTCCTAAAAGATGGTACTTCTGAACTGTTAATCCCTATTGCTCACATAATAAATCTATCAATCACCACTAATACCATACCGGAGGGGTTCAAGGAGGCCAGAGTTACTCCTATCTTCAAGAAAAATAGTAGTAAGCAACTATAGGCCTGTTAGTATACTCAGTATAATATCTAAAATTCTAGAGAGGGCGGTGTATTCTCAAGTAGTTAAGTACCTTAATGACAACAACATTCTCCATAGCTATCAATCGGGCTTTAGAAGATCCTACTCAACCGACACCTCCCTTATTAATCTGATGGATTACCTGAGAACTGAAATGTCAAAGGGGAACCTCATAGGTATGGTAACCTTAGACCTGCAAAAGGCCTTCGATACTGTCAACCACAATATATTATGTAATAAACTTCAAGCTATCGGTATAGGTTCTGTAGACTGGTTTAAGTCCTACCTTAGCAACAGGAGACAAATAGTCAAAATCAGCAAAACAGAATCAGAACCCTGCCGATAACACGTGGAGTTCCCAAGGTAGTATTCTGGGTCCATTATTATTCTTATTGTTATGTCAATGATATGCCTATCAGTGTCAAGTGCAAACTCCTACTGTATGCAGATGACAGTGCTCTGTTAGTGTCAGGTAAAGACCACAAGATATTGCTAATGTTTTAACACTGGAACTGGAGTCCTGCGCAAATGGTTAGTAGACAACAAACTATCATTACACCTAGGGAAACTGAAGCCATTCTCTTTGACACGAAACATAAACTGAGAAGGGTAAATAATTTTAATGTTCAATGTAATGGGGAGCCCATCACTTTGGTTTCATCAGTAAAATATTTGGGAATCCCCTTTGACCCATGCATGTCAGGAGAATTGATAGGGAACAGTGTAGTAAAGAAAGCGATGCCAGACTGAAGTTCCTGTATAGACAAGCACAGTGTCTACCTACTGAGGCTCGCAGGACCTATGTCTAGCCCTTATACAATGCCATATAGATTACGCTTGCTCTTCTTGGTACTCTGCCTTGACAAAAAAACTGAAGATAGACTGCAAAACACCCAGAACAAAATCGTATGATTCATCCTGGGGCTGGGACCAAGAGAACATGTAGGCCAGGATGAATTACAGCAGTTGGATATGCTGAATGTTGAAGACAGAGTAAAACAACTGAAGCTAAATCATGTTTATAAAATTGCTCACAAACAATGTCCAGAATATCTTGCTGTCAATTTTGTCAAGGTTGGGAACCAAAGCAATCATAGTACTAGGGGGAGAGAGCACAACTTTGTAGTACCCACAGTCATTGGCCAGGCTTCAAACACCTTTTATTGTACAGCAATAAAGGAATGGAACAGACTACCCGCACATGTCAAAGCCAGTCATAGCATGAACCAGTTCAAAGAAGAGTGCCAAAAGGTGTCTGATGAATGTAGCTACAGAAAGGGAGGGGAATGATTTTCTATTTTTTATCTAAAGTACGTGTAAATTTTACCTTATTCCTTGTAATGACCCTCGTATTGTAGATAGTCTTAATGACCCTCGTGTAGTAGATAGTCTTTTTAGTATGATAATAAGATGTTATCTTCATTATAGAATAATAAGAAAATATTATAACCTTTATATTATAATAATAAGGTAAAAGGACCCCAATAGAAATAAGTCACTCTGTCTGACTTTTTTGGGTTATCCTAGGTTCTCTACACATATGCTGCTATGTATGATAATTCTATGTAACTGTGTTTGTGTATACCTGAATAAACTTACTTACTTACTTACTTAGGGTTACAGTTGAAAGAATTAGAGGTAAGACAGAATGTAGGATTGCAGATGAGCAAGGAGGTTTGAGTGGGTAGGGGATGTGTAGATCAAGTGTTTACATTGAAGCATATATGTGAACAGTATTTGGATAAAGGTAGGGAAGTTTTTATTGCATTTATGGATTTAGAAAAGGCATATGATAGAGTGGATAGAGGAGCAATGTGGCAGATGTTGCAAGTATATGGAATAGGTGGTAAGTTATTAAATGCTGTAAAGAGTTTTTATGAGAACAGTGAGGCTCAGGTTAGGGTGTGTAGAAGAGAGAGAGAATACTTCCCGGTAAAAGTAGGTCACCATGGTTGTTTAATATATTTATAGATGGGGTTGTAAAGGAAGTAAATGCTAGGGTGTTCGGGAGAGGGGTGGGATTAAATTATGGGGAATTAAATAGAAAATGAGAATTGACACAGTTACTTTTTGCTGATGATACTGTGCTTATGGAAGATTCTAAAGAAAAATTGCAAAGGTTAGTGGACGAATTTGGGAGTGTGTAAAGGTAGAAAGTTGAAAGTGAACATAGAAAAGAGTAAGGTGATGAGGGTATCAAATGATTTAGATAAAGAAAAATTGGATATCAAATTGGGGAGGAGGAGTATGGAAGAAGTGAAATGTTTTCAGATACTTGGGATTTGATGTGGTCAGCGGATGGATTTATGAAGGATGAGGTTAATCATAGAATTGTGAGGGAAAAAGTGAGTGGTGCGTTGAGGTTATGTGGAGTCAAAAAATGGTTATCTATGGAGGCAAGAAAAGGAATGTATGAAAGTATAGTAGCACCGACACTCTTACCTCACTCATACATAATCACTGTTTTTGCAGAGGTGCTCAGAACACAACAGTTTAGAAGCATATACTTATAAAAATACACAACATATCCCTCCAAACTGCTAATATCCCGAAACCCTCCTTTAAAGTGCAGCCATTGTATTTCCCATTTCCAGGACTCAAGTCCGGCTATATAAAAATAACTGGTTTCCCTGAATCCCTTCACTAAATATTACGCTGCTCACACTCCAACAGCTCGTCAGGCCCCAAGTACCATTCGTCTCCATTCACTCCTATCTAACACGCTTGCTCAACAATTCGCAAAGAGGCGAAATTATTTATAAATATTGTCTCTACGTCCACAGCAGGACTCGAACCTGCAAACTCTGTATCAGAGTCCACAGTACTTTACCACGGAGCTAGACACAAGATAAGTATGGGCGCTTAGCCGAAGCTAAGCGATGTTACCCCATACCCCCGGGCACCATACCCCCGGGCACCATACCCCCGGGCACCGTACCCCCGGGCACCAAACTCGTTTTGAAAGTTATTTAATCGAATCATGCCACATGCAGCGGACAACGAAAGAGATTTGAAATGCTTAACAATTCGCAAACAGGCAGGATTCGATTAAATAACTTTCAAAACGAGTTTTGTGCCCGGGGGTATGGGAAAACATAGTCTGGCTCCGGCTGGATGCCCATACTTATGTTGGGTCTAGCTCCGTGGTAAAGTTACTGTGGACTCTGATACAGAGTTTGCAGGTTCGGTTCATTCTTTGGCCAGCAACGGAAGTTACAAATGCTTATCTTCCCAACCCTTCCTCACTCCCTCCCTCCACTGATTCACCTATCTGTCAAGTCTTGCTGACACCACTGTGGGAGGTAGGAGGGGGAGAAATATCCACTGTGGTAATGGGGGGGGGGGATTTGGGAGGCGAGACGGGGGTATATTAACTGGTATTACCACCACCATCATCATTAACCAAACTCAGACCAACCAATACACAACCACGTGTAGAAAAATCCAACAAGCAACTACGCGAGGTAACAAGAATAAACAGAGCCAAGAAAGGCAAGAGAGGCAGGTGAGGAGATCCGCAACACAACACAGAGGTAGAACTTAGTAAGAGTGACTTGTAAGGCAGCAGGAGTTGTAAGGCTTCGTGATGGCCCCTACAGCGTCGGCAGTGTGGAGCAAACCAGTGTCTGCCTGGCCTCCCGAAGGTGAGCACGTCTCTTATCAGCGTTTGTAGCGATATTCATCCACACTGCAGCAGCTCGTTGGAGAGGAGGTGCAGGTGGCCGGCAAGGTACAACAGTCCGTCAGCGAGGTGCAGCAGTCCGTCAGCGAGGTGCAGCAGTCCGTCAGCGAGGTGCAGCAGTCCGTCAGCGAGGTGCAGCAGTCCGTCAGCGAGGTGCAACAGGGTGTTAGCAAGGTGCAACAGTTCGTCAGCGAGGTACAGCAGTCCTTCAGCGAGGTGTAGGAGATCGTTGAGCATGTCAGACGCGGACACAGAGGGTAGCAGTGGGCCGTGGAGGCAGATGTCCTTCACATCGTCGGAGAGTGACGGGCCGCGCGTCGTGATCCCCAATAAAAGCGAAGAGGAAGGGGACGGCGAAGAGGAGGAGGAGACAGATGAGAATAGCCAGAACTTGAAGACCAGCATGATGGGCGTGAAGGCAGCGATTTCCATGACAACAACAGACCGCACCAGCGGGGAGTCTGGCCAGCCCTCTCACTTCGATACTCTCACTCCCGAGCTAGAAGCAGCACTGGTGAAGCAACTCGAAGATTACTTCAGTGACGCTGGACTAGCTAGGGACCTCTTCCTGCTGAAGCACGTGAAGCGCCACAAAGATGGCTTTGTCTCGCTGAAGCTCCTCTCAGGTTACAAGAAGATCAAGAAGCTCTCGCGAAGATGGCAGGAGCTCGCGGCGGCAGCTAGGGCTTCCACCATGCTTCAGGTGAACGAGGAAGGTACTAAGGTGAGGCGGCGGACGCCCCTGCCACCCAACTTGCTCTACGAGGCACCTACCTCTCGTGCCATAGTGGCCGTCAATGTGCCACCTGAACAGGCCACTGTGGCGGCACTGGCTACACTCTTCGGCAGGTATGGCTCAGTGGCATCTCTGCAAGTGCTGCGGCCCAGACCAGGCGGCAACGTGGTCCCGGAGCTGCAGTCTCTACTGGTGCGCACGCCAGAGGTGGCCACCACCACCTGTGCAGTGGTGGAGTATGAGGACGTATGGGGCGCAGGTTGCGCCCTCAGGGAAGGGGTCAACCTTCCCATGACGCTGCACCTGCTGCGCCGCTCCCGCCGCGCATCGCCCTCCTCCAGCAGGAGCTCGCCCACGCCCACGCCCAAGGGACGACACGCAGCTGAGAACGGCGTGTCGGCCGACGAGCTGCGACAACGGCTAAAGAGCGGCCGAAGCAAACAGCGACACACACCAGTTGAGTCCACAACATCTGACGGGGAAGAGAGCGGGAGTGGACGGGCGTGGTGGCGCAGTGGACCACGCCACCTAACCCCTCAACCCGCCCCACGCCCTGTTTACCACGCCCTCGTGGGATGTAGTAAGTCCACGCCTACCTCCCCCGCCTCCTACCGGAGGACTGACTACCCCCTCTCTGTCACACGATACCCCAGGGGACCAGATGATAACAGAGGATTCTCAAGATTCCGCTCTTAACTCTCTCACTAACTGTGTTATCTCACCCTTCTCTCCTAGGGCCCAGGCCCCACACCCAGCCCCCAAACGGGGCCCTCCAAGGGCTCTACAAGGCTTTAAATCACAGTTCTCTCACTCTAACCTTCGGAGACCACTCCTGATCTCCAAAGGTCCAGTCTCCTACAACTCAAGGCATTTTCAAAGATATTTCGCTTAGCTTGTCGACCATTTATCAAGATGTATAGGGGTCAGCAACCCTTGTATGTTGCTTGACTATGTATAGGGCCCAACAGAGTTTGTATGTTACATGGGGCCCCCCAAACTATCTTGTTAATGTTTTATTAAATAGATTTGGTTTTGGGGTTTTAGTTGGGCGAAAGACCTCAACTACTCGAGACAATCAAGAAAACTTGACTAGTCCTTAAAATAAGGATATATACCTCTCGGCGTATTTATCTTGTGATTATTCTTGTCACGTACTGTAAGTTGAATATTTCATCAATAATTTGTCATTTACTGATGACCCTTCATTGTGGTCAAGCATATTGTGACCACACTGACTCGTTAGGCTTGAGTTTAAAACCTGTCTAATACGCGATAAATTAAGATCACATACACACACACACACCACACAACACACACACACACACACACAAACACACACACACCACACACACACACAAAACCCCACACACACACACACACATACACACACACATCACACACACACACACACACACACACACACACATATATATATATATAAAAGATAATATATATATATATATATATAATATATAATATATAGAAATTTCTCTCTCAGACACCATTAACGTATATCTAAATAATCATTATATTAAATATTGAATATTAATGACAAGTTTATCATAATTATAAACTTATTATTAATCAATTTATTTGTCTTAAGTTTAGGAATTATGTTTTGAGTGCAAGTGAAGGTCAAGACACAGCTTAACCTCCACTGCTCTCTCGTAATAATAAATGAATAAAACTTAAGATAATTATTGTTTTTCGCCCGAGTACGATTGTAACTATAAAGGCAATACTATAAAATATTTGTCAATATCTTTAAATAGTGAGCAAGTGAGCAGGGAGGGAAGCACTGGTGTGGCGAGTAATTTAAGCCATATGTCATTTTTAATGTCACTGACGACCAGTTGCTGAATAATAGTGTATAATTACGCTTATTAATACTAAATCATTTGGTCAAATATCTTGTACGTGTGAGTGACGCAGATACTATAGGTGATGTTTCTGTAAACACTTCGAATATTGTTATATCCTTGCGACCAGTTGATGTAACGTACATGAATTACATACATTCCTAAATATGTCACAAATCCTTGTACGTTGAGTGACGAAGAGGCAAGACACAAGAGCAGGTTAAGGCGGCCAGGACGCACCCACTCACGAGGTTTGGTGATGCTACACCGAGTATACAAACAACAGTTTACAGTATGCGGCGGCACAAACTAAATGATTATTTGAGCTGATCGTATACCAATATACTCTATATAACAATACACCCAACTTTACTTAAATAGTAATGAGACCATCATCTTTTCAAGACTGAGACTGACCATGTAACTCCAGCCGTGACTGATTACTCAAACTCCTTCTATCTCCATCATTCTTCTTTTATAGGACTTGATAGTCATGTCTGGGAAACGTATTCTCAATAAGATACCCAATCGTTCCACTTGTGTCTAATTTTTGCAAATAAAGTTCGGGACTCGAACAAGTGCACAAACACACAAGCCAACACCTCCACAGCTCGTCACACCGTATAAATAGGACAATTTTGATCATAACTAGTTAATAATTGCTCCTAATCACGGGACGAATCTTCATTATTCACTGTAGGTATTTCCTTTTCCAGGATACTTAGACATTTGGAGAGCGTCTCACCCATGTACATACATGGTTACAAGTCACTGTGGGGATTTGACCGTATATGACTAATATCTCATGTGTTATAATACCTGCGACAACTCTGGTAGGAAGTGTAAGTACGTTCATGGAACACAATATTATGGAAGACAATGTCATGACACAGTTTATGGAAGACAAGTTCAGAGACAAAGGTATGAAGACAAGTATCATGACACAGTGTGTACTGGAAGACATGCATGGAACACAAGTGTTAGGAAGACAAGTGTCATGGACACAAGTGTAATGAAGACAAGGTCAGAACACAGTGTTGGAAGACAAGTGTCATTGAACACAAGTGTTATGGAACCAATTATCATGGAACTTAGACGTTTATGGAAGACAGTGTCATGAACACAAGTGTTATGAAGACAATTCATGGAACACAGTGTTATGGAAGACAATGTCATGAACACAAGTGTTATGAAGACAAGTATCATGGAACCAAGTGTTATGGAATACAATGTCTGGAACACAATTGTTAGGAAGACATAGTGTCATGGAACACAAGTGTTATGGAAGACAAGTATCATGGAACACAAGTGTTATGGAAGACAAGTGTCATGGAACACAAGTGTTATGGAAGACAAGTGTCATGGAACACAAGTGTTATGGAAGACAAGTATCATGGAACACAAGTGTTATGGAAGACAAGTGTCATGGAAGACACAAGTGTTATGAAGACAAGTTCAGGAACAAGTGTTATGGAAGACAAAAGTGTTATGGAAGACAAAAGTGTTATGGAAGACACAAGTGTTATGGAAGACACAAGTGTCATGGAAGACACAAGTGTCATGGAAGACACAAGTGTCACGGGAGACACAAGTGTCATGAAAGACACAAGTGTCATCATTTATCACCTGTTCATTCAGTTCTTGTCTGCCTATCAGTCCTGTGTTTTGGTCAGTCTAATATACACAGTAGAACCACCTTGCTGGGGTATCCGGGAGTGTCTGACGTTTCGCTCTGTGCAGGGTTTTATCTACTCATGACTTGAGGCTCTACAGAGCGAGACGTTGTCTGAGAGAAAAATTCTACAACGAGGGTCTTCGTAGACTTGTCTACATTACCAGTGGATAAATCTACGCCTCATACTAATTCTCAGTATACTTGACGTAGTCCAAAGATTCACTGTACTAAAGAACGCAAAGGCTCAGTAACGTGACTGGAATACATCAGTAACCCGCATATAAGAGAGAGAAGTTTACCACGATGTTTCGGTCCCACCATTTACATTCACATTTTACAAAGTGCGACTTTGTAATTGGTCCAGTTTGGACCGAAACGTCGGGGTATGCCCCTCTCTTTCTCCTATGTGGTGTACCCACCTCAATAAATTAAGCATGTCGATGCTTACAGATGATGGGAAATTAGGTGAGCTGAAATCCCAGGCTCCTCCATCCCTCCTTCCTACTACAACCATAACATCTCTCCCTCCTCCACAACCACCTCAAAATCCCCTCCCTCTCTCTCTAGCCCGGAGTAATTACCAAAATCCTTCGTCATCGATCCCTGTGAAAGGTGGGACGTATATCTGGAGAAGGTTTCGGGGGTCAACGCCCCCGCGGCCCGGTCTGTGACCAGGCTTCGCGCTGGATCAGGACCTGCTGGCTGCACGCAAACCGACGTATTAACCATAGCCCGGCTGGTCAGGTAATGACTTGAGGTGCCTGTCCATCGCCTTCTTGAAGACAGCCAAGCATGAGCTGTCAGTAGTGTTACTGTCTACTTATGTAGTATACTTACATATGTAGTAAGTTCGCCGGTGTTGTCCCGGCCCGGGTATTTTCCGGCGGCAGTATACTTAGATAAACCCAGTTACTTAACAGACAGGCTCCCTGGCTAGCTATGACGTCACGAAGCCCATCACGTGTGGGCCGTAGGCCACAGAGTTCCCTCTCAGTTCAAGGCTAGGCTTAGACTCGAATGCAGGCCTGGGTTTCCCCTACAAGACCTTCATAATTATACGCCTCCAGACATTCAACGTGTCTGGAGGCGTATATTATCTCCTCACGAACCCCCACGACGAGCAACTCTCGTAATATCTTGCTACTCCTGCAACCAGGCAGTAATTAAATACCCCTTGAGTTGGTGGACTGTTACGGGTACTGAGTTACACACCGTGAGGTGTACTTACCTAGTTGTGGTTGCAGGGGTCGATTCACAGCTTCTGGCCCTGCCTCCTCACTGGTCATTACTAGGTCACTCTTCCTGCTCCATGAGCTTTGTCATACCTCTTCTTAAAGCTATGTATGGATCCTGCCTCCACTACACCACTTCCCAGACTATTTACTTCAGCTCACAACTCTGTGACTGAAGAAATACCTCCTAACTTCCCTGTAATTCATCTGAGTCTTCAGCTTCCAACTGTGACCCCTTGTTGCTGTGTCCCTTCTCTGGAACATCCTGTCTCTGTCCACCTTGTCGATTCCTCTCAGTATTTTATATATCGTTATCATATCCCCCCCTATCTCTCCTGTCCTCGAATGTAGTCAGGCCGATTTCCCTTAACCTCTCCGGAGCTCGTAAGACATATCCCTCAACTCCGGGACATGTCCTGAGCTGAGGGATATGTCCTATATCCTGAGAGTATGCTTTAAAACCTATTTTATGTATTAAAGTATTCATAACTGGTAGTGAATAGCGCAGTCATCACCTCATACATGTTATATTATATACATATTATCATTATTATATACATATTATCATTATTATATACATATTATCATTAAAGATTCGCCGGTATTTCTCCCGGCCCGGGCCTTTTCCAAGTGGTGGTCCGGCCTTGGCTCCCTGTCTAGGGAGTGTCTGAGACCTGTCTCCCATGAGAGGAGGTACAAGTACCCCCTCATCTTTGGGACCAACTGTCCCCAGGCCTAGCTTCTCATGGGGAGAAGCTAGGTCTCTCTGGTCTGCCATCCCCGCCCCAAGGGGGATAATGGGAATGACAGGCTTGTGAGCTGCAAGCTCGGGCTCAGGCACCTACCCTACCCTAGAAGGGCTGGGCATGATGTCGATCATATACATGTTATACCAGAAATAGGTTATCTTAGGTAATCTACACATATGCTGCTATGTATGATAATTTATGTAACGGTATTTATGTGTACCTATACCTGAATAAATTTTCTAAATTTTCAGCGTAACTATAGACTGTCTGCATGCACATCTAAATATCATCCATCTCTGTACAAACGTTATATCATGCTGAAATAAATTATTTTATTTACTACAAGGAGACCTGGTCACAGACCGGGCCGCGGGGGCGCTGACCCCCGGAACTCTCTCCAGGTAAACTCCAGGTAAGTACAGGTACAAGTTATACAGGCATACCTGGAGTTTATCTGGAGAGAGTTCCGGG